GATTCTCGTCTAATTTTTTTTCCCCAGAGACGAATGTGATGGTAGCTCAGGCCAAGCAAGGGTCGGCCAATGTTGTAGTAGATGTAATTACCACGGGGCTCGAGGCGGTGGGAGGGATGGAGGTCATCGAGCAAGGCTTAAACACGTTCATGGAAGGCATGCCAGTTTTAATGAATGCGCTCGACGAAGTGGCGAAGCTCCATCCGTATGTGTGAATGTTTTTTTTATTTCTGGATTCTCTAAATTTGTGTCTTTTAGGTTCATAGGAGGTATGTATTGGCCATAGCACGGTGCTCGTTCACTGATCCATCGGTTTCAGTTGCCGTTATGGCTTTCAAGGTACGTATGAATTAACCGGTTTTTCATAAATCTCACTTTTAAGCACAGGCTGTATGGGCGCTAGAACAGAAGCGGCGTGACAATGACCGAAAGATACTGGCCCTCCACATGGAGATGAAAGAAATGATGGGCGTTCTCACGCAGTACGAGTCTCTTGTTTGCGATTTCGACACCGATTCAAGTTTCCCGCAGGCTAAAAAATGTGAGGGACGCGGACGAGATTGCTCCCGACGGAAGCACCATCAAAGGCCGTATGCAGGAGATTGTGAAAGGCACAGCAGACGACATTAAAGCGTGTGCGAACGTAGGTCTGTTCTCTCGATATAACGGCTTGTATCGATTCAGACACTGCAGGCTTGCGACACCTATACCAAGAAGAAACTCGTAGTGAAAATCTTGAAGGGACCTGTTTGGGAAGGAAAGCTGGTTGCATTCGCTGGCAAATTCACTGTATGTTTGTTTCCGCGTCCATCCAACGATCCCCAAGCGCTAACTGATATCCTTCAAACTAGAAACGGCGTTCTGAATTCGAGTTCGCCCTTTCCATCCACACGGCTCTTGGGGTGGATGCTGCGAACAAAACCCTCAGTTCGGTTGACAAAGTCACGCAAGAAATGAACGAAAAGATGGATATGATGATGAAAATGTTTGCCTCTTTTGTTGCGCCTGAACAGAAGGAGATGATGCGGTACTTGATTTTGCGAACAACTCCGTGATAAACCTTTGACTGTCTCCTCAGCGTCGTCGAGCAGAAAGGCGGTCTGCAAGCGTGCCAGGACAGCGACAAAATCCTCAAAGAACTGAGCGACATCGAAGCCAAGTCGACTACTTCCCTCGGAAGTACCGCTCAAGCTCCGAAATCTGCACAAAAGACATCCGCTTTGGAGGACCTTAAAGATGACCTGATGGTCGATCCCGACTCCGCCATTGAAAAGAACCTGACTGTCTTCTCTCGCAAATTCGAAGTGCAGAAGCGCCAGATTGTGTATGTCCGCGTCTATCCGATATACATCGGTTGCAAGTGCCTTATCCACAATTCAGGGACGAGTTGACTAAGGTCGTCGAGCGGGAGGGTGACCGGGTCATATCGGCGGTTACAGCTGGCCCCCACGACAAAGTGATCGATCCTGTAGGTTATTCTGTACCATGCGGTAAGCTCGTGTCTCACTAATATTCCCTAGGACGTCCACAAAATATGGAAAGAAATGGTATGAGGCTGGAGGAAGCGCGGATTATACTGACTCGGTTCGCTTTCAGGGCTGGAGGGGCAGTGTCAAGTCGCGGCATTTTGTTATGGCCTTGCGCGACTACTACCAGGAGAACGCAGAGGAATCGGATGCAGCTGCAGGTGCGGCTTCTGGGAAAAAGCGTCCTGACGACTGGGCGCTTGCATATCTAAATGTTTCCCGGCTTCAATCGATTTCGGAGGCCTTCGATGACGACGCGTCTGGGTTTGTCTAATCATTTGCTGCCAACGGCGGAAGCTAACGCGTTTACTGTTATAGATTTGTCACTGTTGCCGAGGCCAACACCTTCACCACTTCGCGACCAATAGACTGGTCGTAAGTCTACAAGTATCTTGGCACTCTTGTTGACTGACATAATGGTCTAGGCTTTGCCACTGGATAGCGTACTGGGCCATAGGGTTCCACCAGTCGCTCTCAGTTTATGCCACCAAGATCCGGGAATTGATCGCCAAGATGTTTGCACTCAGAACGCTGGTCTTGCCAGCCAACAGAACGGCCGTCAATTCATATTTGGAAACAATTTACCAGGGAGTCACCTCTTTGGAGTCTGGTCTGGCGCCCTGCTACGTGAATGAAGCGCTGCAGGAGAAATTCAGTAGTTACGTCGAGGCTGAGGAAGAGAGACTCCGTGGAAATCTCGAAGCAGTTGACTACGACCTTGACGCGGCGAATACATTGACACTCGTCACCGGACAGGGTCGCATTGAAAGAGTAGAGCTTTATTTCCGTCAGAAGCGCTATTACTCACCGTCTTCTAGTTCCTCCTCCCTATGATATACCTTCTTCTCAAGCGCGACTTTGAAATCTTCCGAATCTGCCAAAAGAAGGTTATCAATGTCGACGAATTGTGGGATGCTGCGGAGTGCGTGCTTTTCAGCCTCTTCCTGTCCCCAAGTTTACCCAAACACCAGTACGATTGGCTGGGTGATCTCTGCGGCACGAGAGAGAGTCGATCTCTTGGAATGTGAGTTTTTTTTATGTCTGCGTAGCCGTCGCCAACAAAATATATTCTCTTAGCGACTTTCCAACAGCAGAAAGTGGATATGGGGCAGGAATTCAAGGTAAACCTCATTTTGTGTGTTTGCCGGCGAATCCCCATTTTGAATGATTCATTTGCAGACTTATGCACATGGTCTTGTGAGTTGGTTTCATTCCTTCCAAGCGAAATCTAATATGGCCATCAGTTCCAATATATGCACGATCCGAGCGGTCTTTGGGATGCGAAACTAGTCCTCGCTCAAGAGTTCCCGGACTATCCTTATGATGATGACCTGGAAGCTCAAAACGTCGACATCCAGAAGATCTTGAATCATCCTCTCGGGCTCGAAAAACTTGACTTCGCTGCCTACAACGCGGAACCAGAGCGCAATAAACCTGCAGCAGCTAGCAGTCGGCCGTCTTCTGCTCTCAAGGCCGTTTTGGGGTCCTGGAATGGCTTCACTTACTCTCCTGCGTCCTCGATAGTCCCATCTTCAGGCATGATTTCCATGGAGCTTTTGGCCAGTGGGACGCGGCGGTTCCAAGCGTCATCTCGCTCCAATATGTCTGATTTTACTATTTTGGGCGAGTGCAGTGGAGAGAGTTCAGAAGTCGTCAAAATCACGTTCAAACAAACTTTCCCTGCTCGATTCTCTCCCCAGTACTTTTGTGGCCAGTGGTGAGGGTTTTCTTTGACGGCCTCATGTCAACTCTAATTAATAACTTAAAGGTCGCGATCCCAGCAGTCGCTCTCGGGGACGTGGGGCGCAGAGGCTGACCCCCGTACCCATGGCGGTGTCTTCATTTTCAAGCGTATAATTCCAGAGTACATGTGCTTCTTCCCTGCGCCTGCAGTGTTGAAGGCGAACAAGGCTCGGGCACTATGGGCATTTGCCATATCTGCGGTTAGATACACAATCCGCAAAGAGGACTGGTCATGGGCATTTTTCAAGCAAAGAACGTCCAACCGAAAGCGGTTCATCGAACTTTATATCCGAAGTACACGCTTTGGGAGACCTTTGACCACCGCAGAGCAGGTACGTAATTTTTTCTTACTTTGGTTGGTTGCACCAAATAACATGTCGCACTAGATCGAACTCGGCCTGATAAAAAAGTGCATTATAACACACAAACCGTCCACCCATTGCTGACGATTGTTAGATCCTTCACCACGGCGGACTCGAGATTTTATCATTCCATAGGTAACCAGCCTTCATTATATCAGTCTCCCCGACTAAACCTTCATAGCTGAGAATCAAATCCGAGTAACCACTGGCCATGAGTGAGTCCATGGTCGTCCATTCCGCTATGTTGCTCATGATATTCAGTGTGCGATGCGATTGCTGTACTGGGGTAATCGGCGGGGCTCGAGTCACTTGCTTGACATGTCGGCTGGAGGATACTTTCGACACGGTAGGAGTTCTTGGTTTATTTGTGTAATCTGATCTGACCAAAGCCTCAGGTCGACTTTTGCGACACCCCGAGTTGTACATCGACGAAAGTTGTGCCCACAGGAATGACGGTATGTGGTTAGCCACTGATTTGTGTTCCTTCCTCACCGTCCGTAGCGGCCCCACCTTCCCACGCACGATATTTTGAAATTGAGTATGCATCCTCTTCCACCCCTTTTTCCAGCGCTCATTTCCCCTCAGAACGCGTCGTCCATATAAGGCAATTCGGAAAAACGTATCGCGAGGCGAAACGAGCCCTCGCAAAAGCGAGAAAATTGTTCCCGGACCCCGAAGCCGACGCCGACGCTAGCGCGTCGGAGGTTCATTCCGTAATCGAGACGACCGGTCCAAAATGTGCAGTATGCGAGGATCCAGTGACACAGCCGTGCTGGTTTTGTGTCCAGTGCGAAGGTTTGCATCTTTCCGATCTTTGGTACGCCGGCTGATCCGCGCTTCAGAGCCCAGCTTCATTTGCTTCAGCTGCGAGTCGGACAGCAAGAAAAAAATTGCCTTTGGATATCATCAGGCTCACTCCCACGATCTGGTACGAGTCCAGCAGTATGTCGAAGAAGTCGAGGTCACTCTTGAAGACCGATTGGCGGATCTGGAGCAACGATTCATCCAACATGAGGCCAACATGAATCAGAGGCTGAACAGCCTAGAGGTCAAGGTGGAGGACCGCCTGCTCAGGGTGGACGACCGTCTCCTCCTTGTCGAAAAACTATTAGAACGAGTACTTCTTGCATTGGAGCAGCCGCGTTAACGGGCACGACGATCATTGCATATCTTTATAGTTTTGTACACTTGCATAGCATCCACACATTCATTAGCATTCAATCACAACTGCATTCACGACTGATTTCTATACGCACGCCTGTCAAGTTTGAAGCGTAAGAGGCTTGTTGGTATGAGCTCGGTGTTTTTGTCATGTGCGATCAATCCAGTCTTGGACTCGTTGTATCTCGTATTTAGGAATATAGTTCAATGCCCCCTGGCCCAGCTGGTTAAGGCGCACGACTGTTAATTCATCTTAACATATCGTGAGATCGTGAGTTCGAGCCTCACGGGGGCAGTTTTTTTTCTTTTCTATCGTTCGCAATAATAATATATATATAGCGTTATTTTTCTTTCTTTTTGCCACAGCCGTCCAACTCAAGTCACACATACAATCCACATCGCTTGTCGAGCATGATGGCATTTACTTCCTCATGAACGGGTATCTCATTAATTAATATAAACTAAAACACATCAAGCGAATGAGGGCAATCTGCGGCAACATGCCCATGGCTCTCGCAGTCCTCGCAGAACAATTCTGAGTCCGACGTTCGGTCGTCCTTTAAACAAGTCAACCAGCCGCAACGAACAGAATAAAACAACTCACTGTCGGTGTCCCTGCGGATAAAAGCGAGCATGTAAAGATATCGTGCCCTGGCTTTTCACATATCTCGCAAACTCCTTCGGTATCTGAAACGTCAGAACCTGCCACACTCCCAGCGCGACGTCGGGTCTCGACAACTTCACTGCTTCCTTTGGAGGATTTCCGTTGTCGGGCCAGCTTGTCCTTGGTGCGCTCAAGCTCCTGTTCAAGTTCATCCTCCCGGTAAATCTGGCAGCATGTCAGTATTGTCAGTAATGCCATCAAGTACGCGCCAACCTTCGACTCAATTAGGGCCTCGAGCTCGCTGATTTCCTTGTTCAACTAGACGGGGCATGTTAGGAAAGCAAAGAAATGGGCTAAGCACGTACATCATGCGCTACCCGAGCACTCTTCATCTCCGAGTCTCCCAATCGCTTGCGCAGCTGCTCGAGCTCCATCTGAAAGCAATCAGCTTGAAAAATGGGAGACTCTACGCGACCCTCACCTCAAACTTGACTTTCTGATCCTTCATGAGGCGCTGCAGAGATGCGAGATCTCCGGACGGTGCTTCGTCCAACGCGCTCTCCTCACGAGTCAGACTGTTATCAAGATTCTCCTCGAGAATTTGAACCTCCTGTCGGTAGACGTAAAATATTGAACGATAGAGAAGCTAGGGTTGTTACCTGACGCAGTTGCTCGGCCTCGGAAAGAAGAAGCTGGTTCTCCGACTCTAAAAGTTTCGTCCGTTGGGTGGCCGCAAGACTCTCCTTCTGGAGCTCTTGAACGATATGTCTGTGCGGAGATGAGCAAACAATTTCAGGTTCATGCAAGACTACCCACTTCAGACCAGTAATCTCCTCTTTGGCAGCAGATAGGTCGTGTTTCGACACAGACGGAGAGTGAGGAGATTGTATACCGTTGTTCAGCGCCATGTCACGGTTGGCCTTCTTTTTCATGGCATCGACCTCGGTAGACTGTGCGGCGAGCGCTTGGCGCAACTTCTCCACCTCCTCTGTTGCTTCCGTCTCCCGTCTCTGAGCTTCCTCCACTAGGTCCTGCAATTTGGCGATCTCATCCGTGAATCGGGATTTATCGGTAGAAACGCGCTTGGCGACTTGAGCTACTCGCGAGTAGAGATCGCCATCGCCGTTGCCTGCCACTAAACCATCCAGGTTCTACTCGCAGTCAGTCAAAAGCCGTTTAATGACTCGTATATTCTCACCGTGAGCTCGGCACGCAGGCCCTCGACTTCAGCCCTGGCATCTTCTAATGCAACAGTGCTTTCTTGAAGGGCTTCCTCGACCTCCTCGACGCGTCTCCTCGCACTCGCCTCCGACTTGATCATCCGCTCCACCTCCTTGCGACCCTCGCTCAGCTCCTTCTTCGCGGCCTCCTCCTTCTCCTTGAGCCGGCGCATGCGTTCCCCGAGCGCTGCCTCATCCCGCTCAGACGCCGCATGCGCATCCTCGAGCGCGTCCTCCAACCTGCTCACCTTCTTCTGCAGATGGACAATCTGGTCACGTAGCGTTTCATTGTCGATCTCAGTCGCGGATGAAGCCACCTTCGGTGCGGCGGTCGGAGAAGGGGATCGCGCCGCCGCACGCGTCCGAGCTTCAAGCGTGACGATCCGAGCTTCCAATTCTTCCTTCTCACGATCAACCGCGCTAAGGCGTTCCTCGTAGAGAGCAATAGTTTCCTGAACCGAGCAATCAGGTAACAAGGAGTCAGACAGAGGACAAGATACACACCTGGCCAGCCTGCCTGAGCTCGTCCACCTGCTCACCGAGCTCTTGTCGCTCTTCATCGAACTCGGTCTGGGTCTGCTTCAGTTGGAATTCCAGGGTCGCTATTTCAGCCAGCTTGGCCTTGAGCTTTTCTCCGCCCTCCCGCTCCGCAGTTTCCTTGCCGGCGATCGTCTCTTTCAGTGTCTGGGCCAAAAGCTGGCTCTCCTCAAGCTCCTGCTCAAGTGTCCGAATCCGGCCCTCGCCTTGCGCCTTCTCTTCGTCCAGACTAGCCAGGACTTGCGAGCTCGCAGTTTCCAGCTCTTGTATCTTGGCCGTTCGTGCCTCGAGATCCTGTTCCGCAGCTTTGAGCTGTGTCTCAAGCTCCGACGCGCGACTTTGAGTGTCCTCATAGTCAAGCCGCAAGGCCTCCAGTTGGGCTTGTGAGTCCTGATCTGGCTCAGGCGGCACAGAGGCGGTGCGCAGCCGCTGGTTCTCGTATTCTAGCGCCTGAATCCGCGATTGCAACTGTTCGCGCTCCTCATGGAGCATTGACCGGGTGGAGGACGCGGATTCCGGCCGAGGCGATGCCCAGGCCGCGCCTTCACCGTTCTGAGAAACGGATCGTGTGACGGGAGATGCGGGCGGGGGCATGGCGACAGCGCTCGGGATTCGGGCACGGGGTGTACCCATAGATGGACGCCCAATTCCGCCTGAGACGCGACCGCCGAGGCTCGGTTTCGGCGTGGTGAAAGGTGAAGCTGGGGTTCGGGTTGGTGAAGGGTTAGGGCGCGAAACGGGTGAAGGGGAGATAAGGTTTCGAGCGGGACTTGCTGGGGGTGCGAGGGCGGGGCGAGGGGGGGTAGAGGAAGTAGCATCACGGGAACTAAGCTGCTTGGCGGTCATGGAGACATACTTGGATGCTCGGGATCCAGCCGTGAGTTTGTTGGTCAAGGAGGCGGCGGGAGTTGTCGCCGGCTTGGTAAGGGTTCGTGAGCGGGGACGTGCAGATGGTGTTGTTCCAGGTGTTCGTCCAGCATAAGAGGACGGCGTAATTCGTCCCCCATTGGAGGGCGTCGTGCGCCCAGTTGACATGCGTGAAGTCGACGCCGAGGGGGTCATTCGTGAGCTTGTGCTAAACGACATGGACGTCGACGTCGAAGGGGTGATTCGCCCGGATATTGAGGGCGTTGTGCGGCCGCCTCGGGACGAAGCCACTGAGGATGGTCGGTGGACGGCGCCTGGGCCAACAGTCGGCGCGGAGAGCTTTGTGGTTGCAACAAAAATCCCGCAATTTGGTGGACATGAGAAATACTGCTTTCTGGCGCAAAGAGATGAGATGAGAAAGCAGAGACGCGCGCGACTGACCCAGCCACGCTCCCGTCGTTCTTTCCTTTGCCAGCGAAGCCTCCGCTCAGTTCAACGCCGGCCCAGAGGCCGGGTTTGCCATCGATGTTTCCTCGAAACCGCAAGGTTCCTTCGACCCCCAGAGACTCTACTCTGACGTTTTCGTTCAATACCGGCTCCCATTTACCGCGCATCCCCTCCCCGACCTCGGACGCGCGGGGAGTGGCGCGAATGGTGCTCTTGCCGAAAACGTCTGATTGACGGCTCGCAGGGCGGGTGCTGGGGGTCTTTGCACGCTCTGGGATCCTTGCAGAGGACGAGGACGCGACAGACGACGGCCGCGGTCCAAAGGAGGTGGACTGGGGAGACAGAGACGCGGATGAAAAGTCGCTGGTCCTGGATGTTCTGTGCAATGCAGGATCGTTTGCCTTGATTGCGTCTGCAAACGCGCGGGACATATACTCGACATCGGGGACGGGGACGGCGGGCTGCACGGTCGACGACGAGCGCGACCTTCCGGGCGTTGGAATGGCACTTGGACGTCGCGGCTTCATGGGCCAAATTGAACCTTTATGTACGCTTACGTGAGACACTCGTGCACGCGCGTCCATGTCCGCTACAACCACCACCCTCCAGAACACCACCGTCGTCGTCCATCCCCTCGTTCTCCTCTCCGTCGCCGACCACCACGCCCGCTCAGTATCGCGCACGTCCCATAAGCGCGTCATCGGCGCCCTTCTCGGTCAGGACAATGGCAAAATAATAAATGTCGCAAACTCCTTTGGCATTCCCTTCGAGGAGGACGACAAGGACAGCAAGAGCTGGTTCCTCGACCACAACTATGTCCAGGAAATGTATGACATGTTTCGCAAGGTAAACGGTGCGTCCATGTCGAGGCCACGCGTCGCCCAGGCCCTCATTCCTCCCAGCCAAGGAGCGGCTAATTGGCTGGTATCACACCGGCCCCAAGCTGCGCGCCTCTGACCAGGAAATAAATGACCTCTTCAAACGTTTTGTCGCGCGGCCCTTGATGGTCATCGTCGATGTGCGGCCCCAAACCGTCGGCATCCCCACCGACGCCTACTTTGCCGTAGACGAGATCAAAGACGTGCGTTTCTCGTGTCGCATACGTTCACACTCTGATTGCGCGTACAGGATGGCACAGAAACCCTCAAAACCTTTGTCCACGTTCCCTCCGCCATCGAAGGCGAGGAAGCCGAGGAAATCGGTGTCGAACATTTGCTGCGCGATATAAAAGACAGCACGACCACCACACTCGCCACACGCGTCTCCGAGCAGCTTGCCTCCCTCCGCGGCCTGCAATCACGATTGTCCGACATCCAGAAATATCTCGTCGATGTCTCACAAGGCGCGATGCCCGTGGACCACAAAATCGTATATCACCTGCAGGACGCATTCAATCTTCTGCCCGACCTCGGAGACCGGACACTGCGGGAGAGCTTTGCCGCCAGCACGAACGACGCGCTGCTGGTGGTTTATCTGAGCAGTCTGTTGCGCGCGGTCATTGCATTACACGCGCTGGTCGACAACAAAGCAACGGTTGGGCGGGCAGAACTGGAAGAGGGATCCGATGAGAAGGGTAAGGAGAAGAAGGATGAGAAGAAAGACGAGAAGAAGGAGGACAAGG